CCCCTCCTTATATCCAAGCAAGGCAATTGTTTTGATTGCTAAATCATTTCTTGCTTGAGTTTTTCCTCATTGCTTGAGTCTTTGAGAGATATTGCCATATTCTAAAGGACTTCATTGTATTTGCAACAATCTACTCCGTGTTGGGAGAATTACTCGGTTGCGGTTTGTTTTCTTACTTTATTGTAAGGGATTTGTATTCTTGGTGTTGGGATTACACCAAGTGGTAGAAATCCTAACGGTTTGTGAAATCAAACGTTAGGTGGAAGAAATCCTGAGTTTTGTGAAATCAAAACTTCGGTGGTAAGATAAGAGGCTTGTGAAATCAAGTTCTCGAGTTGTATTCGGATTGTCAAACTCCGTTAAGTTTGACGGGTTAGTGAAGGCCGAACCAGTATCTATCGTGTGTGCATTGCTCTTATCCTTCACTTTATTTTGTTTGTGGTGCACTATTTTTATTGAATATTCGTGAAGAATGTTTCCGCGCAAAAATTGGTCTTTTGTGCAACACCTCTATTCACCCCCCTCTAGAAGTGTGCGAGGCGTCTAACAGGTACTCTTATATTTCGTATAAAAGATACCTTTGATTTTAATTTTTTGGATACGTCCCTTATGTAGATTTAAAATATGAAAAAGTATTTATGTGTTGTTTTTAGAAAAGGTAGAATTGTAGGAGGGGAATAAAATGTTTTTTTTTAGGTAGGGAATAAGTGTTGAATTAGGTTTAGAGATGTCTTGGGCATCTTGGATTCTCTTGGATTGTGATTGAGGTTTTTGGTCTTATCTTTCGTTTGTTTTTTGTTGCCTGGCCTAATTTACCGTATAAAAGCTATCAACACAATTGGGGTTTGCTTCCATGGAGCGACCACCATGGAGCAGTCGGTTGAAGACTCTGTCTAAGAAGCTTTTGGAAATAGAGAGGGAGATACATCTTCTGGAGCCACGGTCACATGAGGAAGGCAAGAGTTCATCAAGTGGTGTTTCTAATTTTCCTTTATCAGGCGGCCTAGGCGAGTCATCTTCATGAGATGTGCAGGCGTTCAATGAAGACGAATACCTGGAGCTACCACCAAGGAAGAGTAGCTCGAAGACTCTTTCAAACTTGAAGAAGAGGGTTTCTGAATTAGAGAAGGATATGTCTGTAATGAAGAGGCGAAAGCTCTCGAAGAGGTTTTGGTCAGATATTGGTAAAGTATCGTTGCAGATTTTTGAATTGGAATCCGAGAGCCAGGAGTTGTCTCATAAGGATGGCTGGGGTGTTTCTAATTTGCCGTCATCAGAGGGGGATATGCTTGAGTTTGATGAAATACGATCTGCCCCGACCCAGGCTGCTGGTGATGTGGAGGTATGTGATGAGGAGAAGAGTGAATCCCCCAGGGCGATGCTGGCATCTGAGGTTTCTGATGATGAAACCCGATCCTCCCCGACCCAGGCTGCTTGTGATATGGAGATAGGTGATGAGGAGAAGGAGAAGAGTGAATCCCCATCTGACCTGGAGAGCTTGAGCAGTTGTGGCTCTGAGTTCGAGTATACTGTAAACTTGCTGGCTAATCACATTTATTTACTATAAAGTTAGGATTTTTTTAAAGTTCACTCAACTGTTGCTTCCAAATTTACAATCTTTGTTGGACAGCTAACTGAGGAGGAGGAGGGGACTCCTGTTAGGGAGAATGAATTTGAAGGCTATGCACGTGCAAAAAAGGTACATCACTGTTTGGAGCATATATACGCAGGTATGAAGAGATTTGCTAATCACAGTACCAAAGGTCGTGCCTTATTCCACGCTCTGATTTCTGCAGCCGCCATAGTTGGCCTACTTTTTGATAAGGTCCTTTTTTCTGAATGTTCTTTTATTACTTAATATATTTGAATCTCTTGAGTTTCTTTGCTCTGGGATACATTTCTGAGAAAAGCTGGTAACAGCACAAAAATGTTGATAAAGTTTAACTGGCCTTAGATAAAATCGAAGTCAATTGTTTATTCTATAACCATCTTTGTTCTATATGTTTTGACAGGAGGATTACTACTGTTTTGGTATGTCTGCTGAGATGACTGAGCAATTGAATGACTTGTGGAATGAAATACTTGATAAGACAAAAGAGGTTTTTGATAAGACAAAAGGGGTTAGTACCCGATCCTTTGGTCTCTCTGTTTTCATCCATGCTTGTGTGGTGGGGAGGGGGATCAAGTCTAACCCAGCTGGGATGAGGATGTGAGCCTCCTTCCTGTTAGAGGTCAAACACGAGTTACCTAAATTGAACTCACTTTTATCCCTATCATACATTCTCTATGCACTTTACATTATGTGTTTCTCTTGTTCTCTGCTGTCTCCTCAAGCCATGAGCTGTTAGTGGATCTCTTTGGATGTATAGGTTCACCTCTTATTGTTTGTAAACAAAAATTAAAATCAACTAGAGGTAAATTGATTGGGTGCTATTACCTCTTTTCCCTGGAGAGATTTCTTTGGATTATAATTGGTGTGAATGGTGGACATGCGCTTTCAAACCAGTGACTATGAAGTGTACCTCCTCTCTTTCCCCCAATCATACAATTTATTTTTCGTTGTTGCTTCTATTTGTCATCAGCCTCCTTGTTTGTATTTCCCCATCTTACCTTATTTCACCCACTTTTATTATTGTTGGATAATTTGCCAGCTCCCCTCTAATGTACTACTTTGAGTACAGTTGAGAATTTGGAGTGTAAACTCTAGAGAATCCTTGCTTTCACTCGGCAGGGGATTCAATTTGTTGCCAAGGTTAGAGGCAGGGGTAGAACTGAGTCGTTTTAGTTGAAGGCAGTAGGAAATGATTTAAAAGACCAGACGAGAACATTCTGCATTAATCCTTTTGTCTTGTCTTGTTTGAATAGTAATTTGCACGGGAAATTCTTTCATCATGTCAGTACATGATACATTGGACTCTTAGAGAGATCAAAGCCACATCATGTGCCTTACACAAAGACCTTGCAATCTTCGATTGCTCTTTCTTTTCTTTATTTAATACTAATACTACGTCTTTTTTCCCTTTTATGTGTTTTGTTTATTTGTAAACCTTTTGTAAGCTGTGTTCCTTTCCTATCTTTTTTCATTTATAATTTGTACTTACATTTTTCTGGTATGTTCCCACTTTTGTTTTGCACCATAACCAACACAAGCCTTATGAATGAAGAAGCAAACCTGTGTGCACTTGTTTCTAGTGTTTTTTTCCTTTGACCCAAAATAGAGATGGGAAGATAAATAAGATATGGAGGTAGTAATATCTTTTAATATACTCATCTCTAGTATTGTACCTCTTTTCTCATAAGTGAACATGGTTTCCGGGACTCCAGTATTTTGGAATTAAGGCTAAGATATTGTTGTTATTGTTGTTGCTGCTATGGCCTTGAGCATTACCTGGGAATCATCAAGCTATGAGTTACAACGTTGTCTGAGAGGGTTAAAATAATTGTCTAGTGTCTCCCATGGAATATAGTGTTTATCTTAATGTGTCCCATAAATAATGAATTGTGTATTTTTCCACATCAAAGAAATGTGTTATATTATTTTTGGGTATAGCAAACCCGAATATGCAAACTGATATATCTGGGCCCGAGCCTATCATACCCTCCCCCATATCCCACACCCTCATGGAAACCAAAGGACTTAGGTTCAAACATTATGATCCATTTTAGTGAGAATTCAATGTCCTTTAGCCCGAAAGGCCAAAATAACTTTCGTTTTTGACCTAAGGGTTCCGCTGGTCAACCCCCTTTTCCGTCCAACCCAACCCCAAACATCCAAAAGTATTTTATTTCCTTTTGATATCCAAATAAATTCTCTTCTATCTATTTTAATCCCTGGTCACAATAGGAAACCAAAACAGCCCCATTCATCTTCCAACATCCACCCAACATGGTCCCTACTATGTTCCCTAGTACAACCCACTAAACAACCATAAAAGTCCAGGAGAAACATGGTACTTTCTTAACCCTTTAACCACCAAATAAATCCTCAT